AAAAGTGATGTTTATTTTAAAGAAAGTCTTTAAACGTTGAAGAGGTATACCCCGATACACTATGACACATTTACACGTGTCAAGGAAACCTAGATTGAGTGTTTGTCGTTCCTGTGCGACTAAACAGCCCACAAATAAGTTTGAACTGTGTAACGTGATTGAACGTTGAAACATTTTTTTTAACACCATCACTGTTTTCGTTGGATAACTAGTCTTGAGGCTTAAAAGCATTTATCCGCCCGAAAGCACCGTTCTACACACATCGAAACCACAGCTTAAGAGTTGGTCATTTGTACGCGTTCGAACAACCACGAGAGGCTTCTAATGTGAACTACGGTGCCCCGCTGGTACGTGCCTCCTCCGACTGGAGTGTTTGGCGTCCTGTCCTACCCATTCATCAAAACTGGTCCCGAAGTGGTTATAAATGTCGTCACGGAAGCCGGTGTGTCATGCTGCGGGATGTCACAACTCTGCCTGTTGATGCTAGAAGACCCGTCAAAAAGTGCGAGCGAACGGGAGTGTCCCCGTCGTCGGTGGGTCCCAACTCCAAACTGCCGAAGATTCATTCGACTTTCTCAATCTGAAGAGAACAACCTGCAGCAAAAATGGCGTCTCCCAGCATCCACTACCACTGGTGTGACGAAACCGCCAGGACTCTCCCATGACGTGATCAGGCGGAAATGGAGGGAGCACTTTTAAGGAGGCGTTAACCACCTCACTCGGAGAAGCTTGAAATGCGGGGGGGAAGAATCCTTCTTAGATTATGGGTCTGTTTTCCCTCAACCTGCTCTCTCAAAAATGACGCAGTAGTCCAATCGGCGCCGTCTCCAGAACACAGCGAGCAAATGGCGACGCCTAAAAGACGGCTTCACCAAACACACAGTCTGCTGAGAAACCACGCGTATATAGTTTCAGTTTTATTTTATTTTTCAGAAAGCACGTACAAATCATTGAAAAGAGGGATAGACCCATAGCCAATTGGCTAGTGTGGGTTTATAAAAAGAAAACTATTATCTGAGATGCGGAGCGTTTATTGTGTGAATTAAAAGACGAACTGACAGATTTGTCTTTTAATTACGAGGTTGGAAGGTTTTTCGCTTGCTCGTGGTCCGGACAAACGAAAAACCTTGGTAACAAGGTCCACTAGGTTAGATACTCTACGTCACCTACCAGAGGCCAAGGCCAGGCATAGACTGCACTCGAGCGCGGCGTCAGCGTTCGGCTGCTTCTCGTGTCATCACTGATTGAACGCAAGTACCAGCGCGGAATGGTGACGGAGCACTTGCGTCCACTCTGTTCCCGACGTTGGCCTACCGTTGGTGACGTAGAAGGGCCAGCGGCACGGCCTTGTAACCTACGAAGCGTTCGATTCGCCCAGTGCCTGCTCGGCGGTGAAGACGACACGCGGGAATTTATTACAGTGCCGCCGACGATTTCTGGGGCATCGTAAAATCACACTTGGCGCTCGCTCCACGGGTGACCGACTGGCATCTGCGCCATCGATGAAGTGAAGCACGTCGTCTGGTTGCCCGCATACTGCACAACCGTGCTCGGTGTTGTAACCGGCTGGCGTACACGATCATTTGTTGGGTATCGCGATTAGGACGCGGCTTCTTTTGTGCCGAGGTTACTTTTTCTTGCGGAACTTCCTCGAATGAATAATGCATCGAGCCCTCTCGGTTCGATTAATTCGCCCGTCTTCTTTCCCGTAAGCCAGTTCAACTCTTGTTGAAACTGTGTTCAGCGTGCCACATGACGGGACGTCTGCAGTTTACGTTTTCAAAGTTTGGTCGAGTTTTCTAACCTAGTAAAGCAAAAAGAAAAAAATCGTTTGCAGAGGGAGAAAAATAGTGTATTACCCTTTTGTGCCGGAAGCTGTCACTTGCTCACTGTAGGTTTGATTTCTCCTCGTACAGTCCGCGACATTGCTTACGTGAAGAAAAAAATCACGCTTTTTTTTTCTGTTTTTCTTTAGATTAAAAAAACTTTCACCGAGGCTACTATTGCGATAAAGAAGCGATTATTTGGGACACTAAGCTAAGCAGTAAAATGTGGTTCCCTCCAATACTCTTCCAAATTAAAATGCGAAAAAGCGTCAGTGCAGAGAGCGCCGCTCATTGCGCGTTTTATGCTTTCTATATCAAAACAACACTCAGTTTTATTACGTAATCTACAGGAATGTACGAATACTGCTTTAAATCAAATAGGGCCATTGCTAGAAACATAGAGAAAAGAGCCAGTATGTCGTAAGCTTAGCTAACACTGCGGAGGCTATGAAGAGAGCAGCGCTATTCGATATGTACCCTTGTCCGCTCACCCCTGGTAATTTACAAATTGTTAACTTCCTCGCCCTTTCTCTAGTTGCCTTTTTTTGCCTTTTACGTGTAGGCGAGCAACAGACAAAGAGAGTGCGGTTGAGAGTCTCTCCAGGAAAATTGTGTCCTGTGTGCATTACCCAGATAATGAGTTAGAAACAGGCTCATTTGGGTCAGTACAGGGGTGTGGTCATGAACTCTCTCTGAGCGCCCCAACAAATAACGAAAGGCGAGAAACAAATGGAGCAATGATTTGCACGCGAACTAAAGACCGGGGGCCGGTCGAGTAAGAAGAAGAAAAAAAGGCCAGAGGACGCTGGTGCGACTGAGCGAGAAATTAGGTCTCTCCGGTCTTAGCAACTGCCGCAGCCAAGGCGAGGTGTGGAGGCCTGATGAGAGCTTGTCCTTCCGGTTCACCCCTGGCACTTGCGGTGCTCAGACAAGCGAGGGACCGTTGGCGAAAACGTGGTGAACAACCGGTGATAAGGTTTGCGCCCGAGGTTTTAACGGAGAATATGCTAATAAGATTGGGTTTCACGAGAAAAGCGACAGGTTCGGCTCGATCGGCACTAGAGACAAGTGACGTCATACGTCAATGCCCCGTGACGTCACGGTCTCACGTTACATCGCACACATGCACACAGCGTGTGCCCAGATTCTTGGCAACACAGTCTGTGCGCCTCCGGTCTTATGAAACATGGCCTAGACATGCTGAAATTTGATTTCGAGGAAGAGAAATGTCCATCTGCATGTGTACGCAAACCTACCGTTTATAAACGCGTGCACTGACTGTATCGGATTACTTCTGAAGTTTTTGGGACACTGAACAAAGTTTATTTTTGGTAAAGCCTCGTTCAAATACCTATGCGGATGTTTCGCAGTGATATATGGTGACTTAAAAGAGTGTCATATAGCATATGTCATGACGTTTAGTCTAATCTCTCATAACTATTCTGCTCTAACTACTGGCACTCTTAGTTTTCTCGTTAACGATGGCAATTGACGTTAGTAATCAATATCTTTACTCAAAAGATCTTCGCCAAGAAGATGTCATAATAAATAAAAACGAACACAATGAAATACACGCATCAAAAGGCCGCATCTTTTATCTTCGTCTGTGCACGCTCCGGATAAAAAAAAAAAAAAAAAAAAAAACTGTAACACTTTAGAACATTATTAAGGACGTTACGAAGCGTAAGCTCTTTGGCGATCTTGTGAATACCGACCTCGTGGTTGGTATCAACTGTCATCGCAAGCATATACAAAGTGACATATTGCTAGGTGCAGGCGTAATTATGTACCCAACAAAATGGCATGGCAGGGATGGATAGTGCCAATAAGAACGGAATGACAATGCCTCCAGAGGGTCAAGCGTATGAAATGCTTCGACAGGGAAATTATGTTAAGTGATGCTTCACTGTTCACTTCAATACGTACATCAAACCTTTTTATTTAGGTTACGTGGGCGAGACACGCGTCTCAAGCGCTCTCGAACGAAAAACAGAAGGGAGTATGTTTGGAACAAGTTGATTTGGTTTGAATGCTGTCGTACATTTAGTTATACTATAGCGTTAGTCGCATTGCGAACAGAGCGAATGTGGATGTGTTTCCCAAATTTATAACGTACGCACGGCTCCCTCCCTGCAGTAGGTGTAGCCATAAGTATCTTTGACGGAGGACGAAATGACAGTTTTTTTTTTTTTTTGACAAGCTGATTGCATCCGCGCATTAAGTTTGATTTGAGCTGCTTAGCCAAGGGAATAAATTGTTCACTCGGAAATGTACTTAAGCTAAATAAAACTCGTTATGTTGTGTAGATCTAAATTTTATTCTCTTTCCCCAGAAAGTTTCTTACCAATCAATATCCACAACACCAAGATTATTTGGAAGAAACAGTGCATCTGGGAAGCGGCGACGCTTAGGAGCAGGTCACAAAAGAAAACCAACTGTGCAAACCTAAGTAACTGCACAGTACTCATTACGCGCACAGCGTTCTTTTCAACAGCACAACTGATTCCACACGGTAGAAATATCGGCTGGGCAATTTAGTACAACTTCTTGCACTTCTGGTATTACAGAGCTTAAATTCTATGAGACGTAGATAATGCCACCTTTATCGAGGGATATTGCAGGTTGAACAAAAGCAATGGTGGACTTTATATGTATTTATTTGTGAAACCGTTATATGCAACAAAATAAAATATAATACGCATTCATCAGCAAAACGTTTGAATGTAACCGAGCTGGTGATAGCTAGTAGTATTATTTGATTAACACAAATAAAATAAATACAAGTAGTAAAAAAAAAATCCGAGTCTGAAACTGACGCGCACGCACTACAAGGTACTGCATGTTAGTCCTGTTTGTCATCGTCAGCGTAGATGAATGTTTGTTAAATATAAAATTCTATAGAAGAAAACAGCTAAAAAACACACAAGGACTACCAAAAGACAGGGCAAGAGCTCTTGTCTTCTCCTTCTAGTAGCCGTTGTCTTTTGCGCTATTTTTCGTATTGTTGTTATGTATAACGAACTAGCTAGCAAATTGATTTTGATGCCTTATGTATTTTGATCTTGCACTTTTTCTAGTCAACGGTTTAGTGGATCGTAGTTTTATCTGGTTAAAGCCCGATCGTTCTTCTGCCCCTCCATGTTGGCTGAGACGCATGCATTGCCGTTTACTCACCGCGCTGGCGATGCCTATAAAGAACACGATGTTGTTCAGGTTGCACAATGGGCAGCCTGTGTAGGCGGTCATCTCGTCCTTGACCTCCTCCTCGGTCGCCTCGTGCAGGACTCGCCTCATCGTCGTCGCGCGCCGGTATTCCGTCGCCACTTCACAGGCCGTCGGCTCTTGTATCGGTTGACAGAACGATCACCCTACTCATTCCATGTACTGACGACACCAAGAAACTCGTCACTTCACAGATGATTTCCTTCTATGACGAGCAACTTTAGACATTCACTTAGTTTCAGCTTCCTATTAGAGAGTAGCAACAAAGTTCATGGGAACCTAGTGATGAAACATTAAAGCTACACCGTTAGGATTGACTATCACGAACACTGATCAATGAAATCGCGGATGTAAATTTAAATATTTCCCTTTGAAGGTTCCAGGGCACGTCAATCAGCAGCTGGTTCAAAACGATGTTGTGGTCACTGGAATGCGAAATGACGACAAATGCAGGTAAGGAGCCGGCACCCCAACGATGTCACGAACCTTCCTTTATGCCTTCATTAAAACTCTCTTAATGGATGGAGCAGCTGATGCACGACAATCCTGCGGCCACTCCAATGCCGAGTGACGACGGATACCGACCAGAAGCCGGCGCTTTGAGGATGTCACGGATGTTTCCCCAAGACACCACAAAATTCACGCAGATCTGTAACAATAAACGACGCAGCGGAGCGGGCCTTCGATGGAGGCTCAATCTCGGACCGTTAAAAGCTTGCCGACGGCTACATCACATCACTGTCACATCACCGTCGCGAAACCGGCGCGGCCGAAAGGCGAGCCGTCAGGCGTCGGAATCCGTTGCCAAGAAGGGTGAAGGCGACGACGACGAAGACGTCACAGTCTGTCGTCGACGTTCCGTCCGGACGACAGGCGGGGTCTCGACAGTCGCGTTCCGTCGTCGGAGACTGCAGTATCCGGGAGTATGCGGCGAAGGGGAGAAAGACACCGTTACGGACCGCAATGTTCGGAACCGGTTCTAGGGTGGCGACCTTCCACTGCGGAAAAGCGTTTCCTTCTTGGTTTCTTTTTTTCTGGAGCGCGGCGAAATCGAAGCACGTTTATCCACCACGTCGGGCAGTACGTCCCACGTTTTTGCCGCGCCGGTCTAAAGGGACCGGCGGGTGGGTTACCTGTCCCGTAGCCGGAGGCTCCAAGCGTAGACCACAACAAGAACGGGTCTAAACGAGCTCCGTGGACTCCCCAGGGACACACTTGGGGCGTCTGCGTGTTTGTTTTCGAGGAAGGGAAGGATGAATGGCTATTCTGGAGTTGTTTGGAACGCTTCAGTTTCCTCCGCCGCGGGGCTTCGGGAAAGGTTGCGTCACGCGGAGGGTCGTGTAACAAATGACGCCTTCTGGGCTTGGTTCCTCCTGGACCCTCGTTTTTTTTATGTTTTAGCGGCACTCTAATCTTTTGGACCAGTTACCTCGGTAAAAAAAAAGAAAAAAGAAAAAAAATCTACAGATATAATGCAATTGAAACGTAGCGGAAAGCCTGGAGACAAAAAGAAAGCGAGCAAAAACAACAAAAAACAAGCAAATAATGTAAAAAAAAAAACTTGACAGGTACAAGGTCTCACACAGCTCTGGAGCCTCGGTGTTTTTTTATGTTATTGATGTTTTTTTCATATTCGTCTTGTATTTACCGGCATTTTCAGTTTTTCTATGTGTGTTAAACACTAACTCATACATATACTCTCTCTATGTTCAGATTGGAATAATCAAGTTGTATGAACTTAGTTTATAAAATGAAGCACGAGAAAGCTGTTTTACAACCCGACTCGCAGTTTTAAGAGAAAATTCCACCTAGTCAAACAATGCCATACTTTAGAAAATGAATACACTAAAATATACGTAAAATGAGATAAATGAATGATGAAAGTTAGAAAACAATTGTCAGCAATAGATTACTTATTTGGTTTATTGTCTCGTTCACAGCGAGAATCGTGTTTCAATCACGTGAGCTTTGCGGTGCTAACGTGACCGTTAAGTGAAAAAATGAATTAAACGCTTTACTTACATTTTCTTTCTGCAGGTCTAATGTGTTTTGTCATTAAAGAACTTCTCGTTTCATTTCCATTTTCATCGTAGAATTTTGTTCGAGGCAAGCTGTATCGTAGCTTGATCAAAGATCTAAATTTCACGGATGGTAATGCGGTTGTAGGTGGATCTTGCTGGATATACATAGAAACATGCATATTTTACCACTATTGTACCACGACGGATGAAGGAATAATAAGAATAGAATCGTGCCAGCAAGGCTAGCCATCGCAGAAGATAAAACGGGCAACTTTGTTTCGAACGACATCTCATGTAGTGAAAAACGCTTAATAATTGACATTTGATAAGTATGCGGCATTGCAGAGATGCCGGCACCATAAGGAATCACACTGCGCCAAGGAACATGAACGGCGTAGTTCGTTGCTGAGTAGACTACGAGAAGTCGCGGGTAGTTCTATGGTGCCTAGAGCGCGTGTCGAACTGGTGCGTAACCCCGTCCTCACAACTGGTCCTTCTGTTTATTTTTATTTATTTATTTATTCTCTGCAGCGCCGGAGCATTACAGCAGAGGAGTGGGTTACATGATTCACATATATCATTATAAATTGGAAAGTCCCATAACAGCACACATCAGCAATTTCCAACAACATCAATAAACAAGATTCACACCAGCACACAACAGCAATATTACGAAAAAAACCAATGATGTACTTAACACAGAAACTTACATCGCATTAATAAGGCTAATAAAAGAGTCACTGTTAGCTGATACAATATCAGACGGCAGTTCATTCCATTCCGATATAGTTCTCGGAAAAAAAGAAAACATCATATAGTTAGTTCGACATTTTATTTCGCGTATTTTTTTTACGTGGTCCCTCCTACTCGATATATAGTGGGGCATTTCTAGATAATTAGTCTTGTCTATTCCAGTTAAATCATTGCTGATAGCGTAAATAAGTTTAAGTCTATTTTTCTTACGTCTTTTTTCTAAAGGCTCGATACCCATACAAACTTTCATTTGTGTCACACTCTCTGCTCGAGAATACTTATTCAGAATAAACCTCACAGCGCGATTTTGAATGCCTTCTATCTTATCTATGAGATATTTTTGGTGCGGGTCCCATACGGCACTCGGATTGCGGATGACTAAGCTAAGAACCCTGCCAGCCTTTTTCATGATCATATCTATGTGCTGATTGAACGAAAGGTTTTCTGAAAAAATGACACCAAGATATTTAAGTCCAGCCACTTTCCGCAACGAGTCTCGACCAATAGCATAAGCCGAATCAATATTATGTTTCTTTTTACTAAAAGCGACATGAAAACATTTGCTTGTGTTTAACCCCAGTTCCCAGGTCCCGCACCATAAACTAACCCGGTTCAAATCCTCTTGCAAAGAAGAGACATCGTTAACGTTCCTTATTGTTCTGTAAATTACACAATCGTCCGCGAATAATCTGATATTAGAAGAGATGGAAGACGCTATATCATTAATGTAGATTAAAAATAAAAGTGGTCCCAGCACTGACCCTTGAGGTACCCCCGAAGTTACATCTACGTATTCTGATCTTTTACCCCCCAGGACGACGCACTGTTTCCTCCCACTCAGGTAGTCTTTTATCCACCGGAGCACATTACGGTCGATGTTTAAAGCACTCATTTTGTGTAATAACAATTGATGCGAAACAGAATCGAACGCTTTGCGGAAATCCACAAAAATGGCATCCGTTTGCAGTCTGTTTTCAGCCGCACTAACTAAATCATGATAGAGCTCAATTAATTGGGTACTGCAGGAGACACCTCTACGAAAACCGTGTTGGTTAGGGCAAACAAAGTTATTATCTTCTAGGTGCTTAATTATACTACTGTAGACAATATGTTCAAATATCTTACATGATATACAGCTCGAGGAAATCGGCCTGTAATTGTCAACAATTGATTTTGGACCATTTTTATGAATTGGTACAACACACGTTTGTTTCCATTCTTTAGGGAGCAATCCGCTTTCGAGAGATTTACAAAAAATTACATAAAAGTATTGTGAAACTATACACGAGCAGGCTCTTAATACCTTGGGGGACATCTCGTCTGGACCGACGGCCTTGACTTCTTTTAAAGAGTTTAAGCAATTTCTTATTCCCTCTAGCGTGATTATGACGGGAGGCATAGCATTTTCCACTCTATCTCTAAGAATCGGCAAATGTTCGTAGTCACCGTTTTTGAGAAATATTGACTGAAAATAATCATTGAAACAATGAGCTTTAGTTGTATTATCTGTTATGACTCTACCAGTATTTGTAATACTCGGAATGCCTGTTCTTTCTTTTCGTGTTTTTCTAAGGTAACTCCAAAAGGCTTTCGAATTTATGTTGATAGCCTTTGCCAGTCCAGAGAAATAATCCTCCTTGGCCGTACTTGTGGTGCTCCTATAAACTACATCCAGCTCTTTTAGACGGTACTCGAGATTGGCAGTAGGATTTTTTTTATACTTGGAATACATACGTGAGCGTTTTCTAACTACTTTTTTCACTTTATAATTCATCCAAGGTTTGTCGGGTTTTGGTTTGTCCTTTACATATTTACGAGGAATGTGCTTATCGACAAGCTTTGACAGCACATTTCTGAAGTCAGTCCGCTGTGAGTTGGCATCATAAGTCAATGATTTTGACATAAACATATTTAGTTCGTCCTCTAGATCATTTATAATTTCATTGTAATTGGCCCTGTTTCCGCCTGAGGATGGGAAATCAATGTCATCCTATCGCTATCCTGGCGGTGGCACAGCATCAAAGGTGGATGTGACAGATGCCTGTTTTGCTGCAGGTCGTTGTGAAGCCGGACAGCCGATGGAAATCACAGCGGCGACTATACTCCGTTTCACCTTATGTTGTACCGCAGCGAAGGCTAGAAGCGCGAGCTCATAGCGTTGGCAGCTGCCCTTGCTGCACGAGAGCTTGTGCCGCCGAGATGTGCCCTGAGCAGGGAGCTCGCGCTTGTAGTCTTTCCTGCGGTACAACATAAGGTGAAACAGAGTATAGTTGGGACGACGCTACTGCAGTAACCCTT